ATGGAGGATAACACCAAGATGCTCACAATCTTATTTACATGGCAAGAAGTTGCCTGAGTCTTGATAGGTGAGACTAATTCCAACAAAAGTTAGGCTAAAATTATGGGGAAATCATTTTGAATATAAGGTCCTTAAGATGAGTACAATAAAAACAGTTTCTTTTTTTTTCAAATTTAGTGGATGTAGTTTTAATTATTATAAATCAATAAGTTGGACTGATACTTTGGTGTGATGGTTCTATCATACAAAAAATGGAGATATGGAGATTGTTATAACTTGTAGACTTAAAATTGTGTGAATGAAACGGAGGAAAATGTTTATATATGACCTTATGATACAATTAAATTAGCAATAGGAGCATTATTATGATAAAATTAAATAGGAGGATCTCACTAAGTCACTAGGCGAGATGCTCATTTTTTTTTATTTTGGAAACTCGCTCAGTGACTAAACAAGTTTACTTTTTTTATTTTTTTAAAACATTATAAATTTATTGATTTTTAAATAATATCTAGATTGTAAAATATTTTGACAATTAATTTTATATGTAATTCAACTTTATAGATGGATGTCCTCAGTTTAATTACTATAATCTACAACCTTTCATTGCTTTCGATAAATGTTAGATCTTTATCTAAAAGTAATTTATCACAACATGTCATTATTAATAAGCAGCGTTAATTTTTTTCATTATTATTTACAAATGTTTTATTTTCTTAGCACATTAAACATTATCATCTCTATCACGCACCCAACTTCTCTCTTTTCCCTCCCTTACAAAAAGTATCATTATTTTTAAGCAAAATCAAAATTTTCTTATTTCTTTCTTTTATTTATGTTAGAAGTTATATTAGGAAATAATTTATTCATGTTAGAAGTTATGAGAATTAAATTTATTTTCTTAGCTTTGATTTATTTCTTTTAACTGGATTTATTTCATTTCTTATTTTAACCTTTTCTATTTTATATGGTTTTCTTTATCTCCAAGTAATTATTATGAATTGATTAATCGGATATAGGTGTTATTATCTTTCCTTTCATGTTATTTTTCTTTTCTTATATTTCTTATTCTAGAATTCATGTAAGAGTATTTATACCCTCTTTTTATATCAATAAAATAATTCTTCCAAATTCTGAAAATCAACATGGTATCAGAGGCTTGAAAAAAAAAATCCTAGAATCTTCTGCCACCTGAAATTTCCTGTTCCTTGCAGTCGGAAATCTTTGTCGTGCTACAGATCCTTAATTCGCCTTTTTCTTATGTTATTACACCAAAAACATCCCTACAGGTCCCTCTGCCGGAATTTCCTTCTATAACCTTTCCCACCCTTAAAATTCTCTCTTGCAGCCTTTGCCCCCGTCGGCTCCTTCCCCTGCAATTTTTTCAGCCGCTGGTCTCCCTCCTGTCGGTCGCTTTCTTTCCTGTGGGGACCCATCTCTCGTAAGATCTACCTACAAACCTCTCCACAAGATCTACCTGCAAGCCTTCCCATGAGATCTACCTCCGCACCCTTTGTTATCTATCGCAGAAGAAAGCCTGCATTAGGATAACCACATGAGTCGACGTCTTCTTCGGTTAATTCGCCTTATTTAATTTGATTCCTCTCTATTCTCTTCTCCAAGGCCATCTTTCACTTTAGGATCTTTCCACGATTGTTGATCATGTCATGACAATCTTCAAGAACAACTTTAAAGCTTTCAGAATGAATGAGTATTTCGCACCTTAAACTATTTCAAGCGAAGAGGATGCTGAGGGCTCCATATCGATGGGGTCTTTAAGCTACTGCGGTTCTACTTCCGCTGCAGATTTCGACATGGTTTCTAGCGAGAATGATCTGACCGAGTTTGGTAAGTCAGGGTTTCTGCTAGGTAGGGAACAAGAGCAGGCATCCTACTAGAACTAGATGATCTTTTTGACGTTGGGTTGGTTCTCTCGATTGAGACATGAAACAATTGTCTCACTGAGGGGTGGTTCGCTTTGGCCGAATATCTCCCCAACATAGAGCTGGAGGGTTTTGTCCTAAACGTGAAGGAGGTGTTGTGTGGGATGAATTTTCATTTTGGAAACCCTATTATGAATTTCTTCAATGAAATGAAAGGTGGGTTTTTTGAACTGAAGGTTTGAATTTGTTTAAGCGGCATCAATGCTGTCATTGGTTAAGCAATTATCATAATTATATGGTGAGAAATCTTGTTCAAATTAGAGACATTTGGATGAACTGCAATGAATATGGTATTGAAGAAAGGTTGCAAGTTCTGAACATTTTGAAAAGAAAAAAGATTTTGGGTTATGTTAATAATGGGCATTTGGGTTCTGAGATAAATTGTGAAAGTGGCAATTCCAGTGAGGCCTATTGGAGTATAAGGTTCAATAGATCCCGAGTTAAAAAAATCATCTCAGAAAGTTCTTTTTGAGGTTTTCACGGTAAGGGTTTGGAAGGAGAAATCCAAAAAAATTTTGAAGGTTGTTGTCCCGAAGGGTTGTAAAAATAATAAAGGCCATACCATGCAGCTTTTCCTTTAGATGCTATTCCTTTTCTTACCTGCAGGCCATACTTTGCAGTTTTTCTGTATGTTGTCTACTTCCCTGCAACAATACCTGTAGAAGCCTTTCGCCTACATACAGATATTGCAGAAACTGCAGTCAACTAGAAGTTGACTTTTTTTGTAGGTTATCTACCTTCCTGCAAACTTTATTACAACATTACCAGTAAGAGTCTTCCGCCTACCTACAGACACTGTAGAAACTGCAGTCAAAGACAACCGCAATCAACTAAAAAATATCCCTAAATGCTATTGGGGTTGATTGCCAAGTACGAGATGAAGAATTCAATTTTTACCCCACAAAGAATCCTCTTTGGCCATTGTTTGATATTTTTAATTCTAAGTTGAACATGATTGTCAATTAGATTTCAACTTGAGGGGCAGTATCAGAAGTTTTATTAGGAAATAATTTATTACTGTTAGAAGTTATGAGGATTACATTTATTTCCTTGGATTGAATTTATTTCCTTTCCTATTTGAGATTTATTTCATTGGATTAGATTTATTTTCTTTCCTATTTTATGTTATTTTCTTTATCTCCAAATAATTATTATAAATTGATTAATTGAAGATATTAGTGTTATATCTTTTCTTTTATGTATGTCCTTTTTATTGTTTTCATATTCTAGAATTTATGTAAGGGTATTTATATCTCTTTTCATTTTAATAAAATAATTCTGCGGAATTCAAAAAATCAATAATTTCCAAATGTATCATGACTTTAGTATATTAATCACAAATCATGCATTAGTAATTCTATAGTTAGAAATGTAGGGATTGTGTAATTGGTGGAATGAAAAAATAAAAATAATATCGAACTTGTTATCTTATAATTAATCATTCATCTATATTTTTTTTTTCCTGTAAAGACACTGAATACTTTATAAGAGTGAGGAAACTAGATATATATTTTCAGAAGTAAAATTTTTCATTTATAAAATTTTTTAAATTATTGTTTCAGTTATAGCTTGATATTTTAATTGATTCTTTTAACAAGAATATCTTTGAATCACCTATATTAGTTTTTTATCATGTGAGTAATGCGTCATGGTAATTCATGGAACAAATTGTGATTTAATGCTTCATGTTAGATTTTTCTGATAATTTGACTATTTAATCATCATTAGTTTTGGTTTTTTATCTCATGTTAAATTTTTTTAAATAATTTTACAACTATAAGGCATATTGATGTTTAAAAAGAAGTTCCACACTACTATAATAACCCCCACAAGCTAAAATATTTTAATATAAACCTGTTACCATTTATTAAAAGCAATCAAAAGTTGCAGATTACAATAATTAAACTAAGAAGGACATGCATCTATGAAATCGGATTATGAATAAAATCAATCTTCAAAAAAAAAAGTAAAATTTTTCAGTCATTAGGCGAGTTTCCCGATTTTTTTTTTTAAAATTGAAAATCTCGCCTGGGCCTTATGCTTCTATTTAAATATTAAAGCTTTGCCTAAAATGGATTAATGCCTAAGTGCATTATATGAGAAATAAATTGGTAATTAAAAGGAAAATTTTAAAATAACAATAGACTAGCAATTTTGTATAAATTCAGATGTTGGCCTACAGCTAAATCACTATCAAACAAGTATTTTGTACTAGAAGTTAAAATATTATAGTGAATATAGGGGTAAACTAAGAAGTTATGCTGTGATATGGTTGTATTGGAGAGGCTGAGGTAGCGACACTTATTTGTGATGATGCTGAAGAAACATATTTGATTGTCTTGGGTATGACTGTTTGAGGGCAGATGATGCATCAAAATGATAGATTGATAGAATTAATGTGAAAGTTGTTGAAAGTAAAATGGAATTTGCACTACATGTTTCAATTGAAATGAATGGAGGAATAATATAAAACTTGGCCAGGAATTGTTGGGATAGGGCTATTTGTGATTATTATGGCTGATACATTCTCATGTTTAGGTTTGTTTTCCATTAAGTTTTGAGCTGATTTGTTAAGCTCTTTAATTTTGTTCTGCTTTTAAGATCAGTTTTTTTCATTTTTCACGGGCTCTATTGGCCCATTGCTGCATCGCTGTTATTGCGCCATCCTTGTTGGATTGTATAAGTTGTTCTCTATGTTTGTTCTTTTTTTGAAGATTTACATGCATATCATTTAATTCCTATGTATTTACATATCTATTGCAAACATTAATTTTATATATATGCTGCTTTATCTATGCTTGAGAAGGTGTATTTTACATTTTAAAAGTTAAAATGGTGGTTCTTTTGATGTGACATGAAAGATTTGGGTGGTATAAATGTAAAAAGTAAAGTTTTGTTGTTGGATGTGTAAAGACAAAGGAATTGTGTAGTATCTATGTAACGATCCCCCTTCTTTTGTCAATTGGCTCTATGTATATAAACCAGCTTTATATTCTTTGCATTTATATATTGTTTTTGGGTGTGTTTTGTATTGCCTGCTAATTTCTTTGTATGTAGATGACAATTGCCTTCACATCCATTGTGGCAATCTTCATCATTGAGAGAGTTGATGAGAAAACTGGAACCGCATCCATTGCACCCCTCATTGTGGCCGGTGTAATTAGTATTTTGTATTGGAGGCAAGCACAAATTCTTCTTTATTTTATTCTTATTGTAAATTAATATTCAGTGATCTATCTGCATATTTCCCTTCAGGTTTTTTGATGATCTTCGCCCATATGCTGTTGTTCAGTTTCTTCCATGTATTGCAATACCTTTAATGACTATCCTAATGCCTCCAATGTACTCACATTCTACATATTGGCTGTGGGCAGCAGGTTAGAACTATAATTTTCATCCAAGTGAGATCCTTTCAGTAATTTTCAGTAATTTTCCAGTCGTCACCCATACCTTCTAATTATCTTTTGGAACATTTGATGTTATAATTGTGCCTTCTAATGCTTTTTTACCCTTGCTAGTTTTGTCAAAAGCTTGCTTACTATCCCTTGCAGCTGAAAGTTAAGATTAAAAAAAATAAAAAAAAAAACCAAAGTTGAAATTAGGAAATAAATGCTCATTCTATGAACAAAAATCATTTTTAAAGAAATGTTTTTGTCTTACTTAGGTTAGCCAATAAATTATTCTTCTTGTTTGAAATAAAAAACTTGGAGGATGGAGTTTTCTCTTTTGAAGGATATTTTAATTCATTTATAAAATTTGTTGCAAGACATCCTTCAAAAATTTCCTTAATAAAAGATTCTAAGGGTGAGGATTCGATCACGGATCTTGACTTTGGCCATGTTGAAATGGTCTCCAAAACCTTGTCTGGGAACACATCATGATTTTGCCAGAGTTTTAAGGGAAATTTACATACTTAGCACACAAATCTTATGTATTTACATATCAAACACCTAAACTTTCATATTTGTATACATAGCACTTTGGTGCTTTAAATCTATGCATGAAATGTATATTTCATTTTAAACAAGTAATAGTAGCGCTATTTTTGATGTGATATTAAATATTTGAGTGCTATTTGCATAAATATGAAAGTTTAGGTATGAGATATGTAAATACATAAAGGACTGCGTGCTCTGTTTGTAAATGCCCCAATTTTTAAATTGTGAGTTCACTTGATGTAAAAAATCTTAAAATTCTTATATTTATGTGACAGCATTTTATCTACTAGCAAAAGTAGAAGAGGCGGAGGATAAACCTATCTATAAGCTCACCCATCATGTTGTCAGTGGCCACACGCTGAAGCATCTTTGCTCGGCAATGGTTCCCATTTTCTTAACTCTCATGCTTGCAAAGAGGGATGTTGAAACTGAGAGGTATGGTTCATTCTTGTAACATGGCTTCATATTTTATGTTCAAAATATTGCGTATAATTTTCTTCTTTTGAAGGCTTGGTGCTGATTAATAATGCTTAGCTGGATTTCTAGTATTGATATTTTGGTCATCTGAATCTTTGCGGAAGATTTACATGCATGCCACTCAATTCCTATGTATTAATATAACACATATTCTTTGATTTTTACATACATGCCACCTTGCATATGCATGAAAAAGTGTATTTCACTTTTTAAAAGTTAAAATGGTGGTATTTTTAATGTGATGTGAAAGATTTGGGTGGTATAAATGTAAAAAGTAAATTTTAGCTGTTAAATATGAAAATACATAGGAATTGGGGTTATGTCCCCAATCGATAAATTCTTTTGCGTCTTAAGTAAATGATAACTTATAAACCTTTTTGGCTCCGCATGAATGCAATTATGCACTATGTAGAAATTATAGGAAAAATTCTCTTATCTTCTCATTAAGCAAATAACAAATATATATGCAGCTTAAACTAGCTCTCATACAACTGGAGAGAAATTTAAATCATCGTGATAAAAAAGGAAATAAATAAAAACACTATAATGGATAATTAAGGGAGAATAATTTCTCCCTCTCAATTGTAATAGTGTAACCTCGATATGCATATCAACACTCCCCCTCAAATTAGGTTGTATGTGTCATCCCAAACTTACTGCTGAGATCACTGAAGTGGTGCTGAGAAAGAACTTTGGCAAGGATGTCAGTAATGTGAGAATAAGTTGGAATGTAGCTTAGTTGAACAACTTCTCCATTGACCTTCTCATAGATGAAGTGACTGTCAATCTATATATGTTTTGTTCCATCATTGTATACCGAATTCTTTGAAATACTGATGTTTGATTGACTATCACTGAACATCTTAATAGTAGTTTGGTTCTCCATGTGAAGTTCCACCAGTTATTTAGCCACATCCCTTCACATATTCCTAGGGTCCAGGCATGATACTTAAATTCTGCACTTCTTATTGCCACCACAACTTGCTTTTACTTCTCAAAGTAACAAGGTTATCCTATACAAATGAACAGTAATCCATGGTACATCTTTCATCAATCAGTTCTCCTTCCCAGCTAACATCAATGTTGATCTCTATGTCGCAGTTCTTAGCCTTCTTGAATAACAATCCACATCTTGGAGTTATCTTTAGGTATCTCAGGATTCGAAAGACCATTTTTAAATGTTCTTTATTTGGATCGTTCATATTCATAGAAAAAACAATGTCAGGTCTTATATGTGAAGAATAAATAAGTTTGCTCACAAGTCATTGATACCTATCTTTTTCAACTGAGGTATTATTCTCTTCTTTTGATGCTTGTCAATTAGGATCTATATAGGAGTATTTGTTGGTTTGCATCTCAACGTTCCCGTCTCATTTAATAAGTTAATGATATATTATCTCTGAGATATGAAAATGTCTTCTTGGGATCTAACTATCTTCATTCCCATAAAGTATCTTAAAATTACAAGATATTTGATCTCAAACTCAAAAAAATTATTCTTTTTATTGTTTCAAGTTCTCTTCTGTCATTGTCTTTAAGGATAATGCCTTCTACATATACAATAAGGATGACTATTATACCTTCTTGATTTTATTTCACAAATAATGTGTGATCAACCTAACACTGATAGTACCCATTGGCAAGAATAGCCTTGGTGAAACTTTCACACCATCTTTTGGGAGATTGTTTCAGCCCATACAATAATTTTGTTAGTTTACACACTAATTGATTATTTGTGTTGCTTTTTAATCTTTAGAGGTATCTTCATATAAACTGCATTATGAAGATCCTCATTAAGAAATCAATTTTTAATGCCTAGCTCTTGTAGTGACTAGCCTTGGTTGACATCCAAAGAGAGTAACACTCTTATTATGTTGAGTTCTGCCACTAGAGCAAATGTCTCCTGGTATTTGATCTCATAAGGCTAAGTGAACCCTTTTGCTACAAGTATAGCATTGAACATTTTTATCTACCATCTGCTTTATATATAACAATAAACACCAATTTTTACCATACAGTTCTTTTCCTATGTGATAGAGTTATGATTCAGATATCATTCTTTTCAAAGGCAAGAATCTCTTCTTCCCCAACCTCTTTTTCAAGCAAGAATAGATAAGGTTTCTTGGATTGAATTTGGGGGCTGCGTATTATTCAACTTTTGAATAAAAGATTTGTAAGAGGATGATATTTTTCATGTCACAAATTCTTTAATCGGTTGTTTTGTGCATTCTTGTGCACCTTCTTCCTCTTAATGTTCATGATGTGTTGACCCAACCTTTGTGTGAACGCATGGGGTATGTGGAGTTGGTTCCAGTGATTTATATTTCTAATTTTGCATATTGCCTCTTACATGTTCATTGAGTTTTTTTTCTTTTTGGTGTCAACATGGAGTTCTTGGTTCTTGGTGGGAGCTATGAGAGGATTTAGTGGAGTAATAGATTTGTTTTTTATGTTGATTTGTGATAGTGGATGATAGTGGGTTCATCAGAGATATAAAGGAGGTGAGCTTGAGGTTCCTGAGTGGTGACACAAATATGATATTCTCTCGAACTTTCCCCATGAATGTTAGATTTGGGGTAATATGGTTGGTTTTCAAAGAATTCGACATCCATGAAGTTTTAAATTCTTTGTGTTTTTGAAGAGTAGCATTTATATCATTTTTATTTGAAGTTTAGCCCACAAAAATCAATTTGATTGACCTAGGATCAAGTTTGGTCTGATTAAATTGATGTAGATCAACAAAGCAATGCAACCAAATTTTTTTGGTGGTGGGTTAAAGGTGAATGATTGAATATGTTGGCAGGATTTTATAAGGGTGTTGAGAGGTTTGGTAAAATTTAGGGCTCTGTTAGGCATGCGATTTATGAGATTGGTGGATGTGAGAATTGTATCCCCCTAGATGTGTTTGTGTATATTGTTAGTGAATGAAATTGACCAGGTCACTTCAAAGAGATGTTTGTTTTTTTTTCTCACCACCCCATTTTGTTAGGGTATGACAACACAAAAGATTATCTGAATTATGCCATTTTTGGATAGATAAAGGGCGAAGAGTGGAGTTGTAGTAGTTTTTTGCATTATCGACTTTGAGAATTTTAATTTTAGTCTAAAATTGGGTGAGGATAATGTTGTGGAAGGTTTTAAATATGTTGATAGTTTAAAATTTTTCTTTCATAAGAAAGGTCCAAGTGGTTCTGGTGTGGTCATTAATGAAGATGACAAACGAGCCAGTCTCATTTGTATTTTTTTTATTTTTGAGGGTCCCCAAATATCGCTACGTACCATGGAGAAGTGATGTGCTGGTTTGTTTTAGGCTTGGGTACACTTCTCAAGTATGTTTAACAATTTGCAAGTTTCACACTAATAAGAGCTAAACTTTTTATTGATAAATAAATGGTAATATAATTTTTCAATATAATAGAGGTTAGGATACCCTAGGGAAAAGATGTAATAATATAATTTGACTCTCATGAAAAACAAATTCTGATACAAGACTTGACTCAAATGATTGTAAATGATGGGATGATTCTTTTGAAATGGTAGTCCTAATGAACAGATACAGTCATGATACATGTCAGCGCTTTCAATCACCTTTCCTGAATCCATCTCATGAAATTCACACATATTAGGATAAAATTTAGTAATGCAATTCATGTCACAAGTAAGTTGACTGATAGATTGTAAATTGCATTGAAGTTTAGGAATATAAAACACAGATTGAAGAATAAGATCCTTTGTGAGTTTCACACTTTTTCTTCCATCTGCAGATGAGAGGGAGTCATTTGCGGTTCTAATTGCATCATGGTATTTGCAAGGATGAAATGATTGGAAAATAGTGATACTACCTTTCATGTGATTAAATAATCCAGAGTCCATAGTCCATGGTTGATTCTTTCTGTTGAGAGCTGTAAGAGCAGATGAAAGACTACCTTGATGTGCTAGATGACTAGTAGAAGACTCAGAATATTATCCCAAAAGTCTTTGGAAAGCTTCAAGTTGTTCATCACTGAATGAACTATTTTCATATGGCTTGTCTTCCTTTGATGTCCTATTTGTTTGATTTTTTCGTCACCTTTGAATTTATTGGGCTTCCAATCTGCATGTTTTTCTAAAGTTTTCCAACACCTTTCCTTTAGATGACCAAAGTTATTGCAATGTTTGCACCACGGTCATCCTCATTGATTTGTAGGCTTATGATGATTTATGGATGTATAAAGACGAGTTGTCAACATTTGATGTAATGAGATTACCCGCCATTATTAGTTTCTTCATGTTTTCTTCCCTTCATACTCCAACAAAGGCTTCACCAATTGAGGGAAGAGGTTTGGTTCCCATAATTCTTCTTCTGACTTCATCTAATTCTTTTGAGTCTTACAAGGAACTTGATGGTCTGCTTCTGTTCAACAATGATCTTGTAAAGAGTAGTCTTGTGAGCACCTTCATGTGTATGTTTCATACATATATAGTTGGAGCCAATATTTTGAGAGGATATTGAAATATTGAGTAACAATCAACTCACGCTGTCGCGGATCATGTAATCTAGCTTCAATGTCAAACAATTAAGAGACATTACCTGTCGCGGAATCTAGCTTCAATGTCAAACAATTAAGAGACATTATCAACACTTGAATAGGTTTCCCTTGAGGTATCCCAGAAGGATTTTCTTCGGTGAGATAATTATTTTTTTTTTCACAGATGTAAATGAATACAGTTTGAAACCATTGGAGAAATTTATTGTCATGTAGTTTGTAATTGATGATGCGGGAATAGAATTCATATGTCTCATAACCAAACGTGCTTGAACCGACACAGCCTTAGCACCAAACATCTCAGATTTAGATTCAGACGCAATTTCTGAAGAGAAATAAACAACTTTCATGTCGTATTTGGTAATGCAGACATTGAATTTTCACTAGAGAGAGAAACTGTCTATCGCCAACACAGGATTTTCACCGGAAATT